GAGGCCAAGGCCCCCTCTGTTGCAGCAGGGGCGGAGGGGAAAGGGGGGCCACGGAGAGATCCGCGGCCATCACCGGGATGCCGAACTCAGGGAGCTCCGCGGCGACGGCGGGGGCTGTCGGGCAGGGGGCGCGGTAGCTGATCGCCCCGGCAAGGCTCCCACGGGCGCCGCTCACGACCCCCAACGCCTCACGCGGGAGCTGCAGCGCCGACGTCAGGCGCTGAATCGCCTTCTGCACCACCGCCTGGCTCGCGACGCCGCGGACGAGGTGGTAGTAGACATCACGCTGCGTCGAGACCACCCCGCGGAGGACGTTTTGGTAGAGCAGCGGAAGCACCAGCATCTCCTCACGAACCTTCGAGAGGCTGGAAAGGCTTCGGAAGGCGCAGTCGCTCACTTCCTTGGGCCCTCGGCTGTCGGCCGCCGGTGAGGGTGCAGTTGGAGTAGGGTGCCCCGCAGCCTGCGAATACGAAGTCGTCTCCGCTTTACTAAGGTCATGAAGAAAGTCAAGAATGTAAATTTCCATACGCCGTAAGGCCTCCGCCTTTAGACTCTCAGGTGTGTTAAGCGCAGCTACTCCTGTTGTAATGAAACGATCCTGGGCGGCATGGCAACTCCTCGTTCGATCCTGCTTAGATCGACGGACAGGCATTGACGTTATGTATCCATAGAAAGCTAACAAGGATTCAATCAAATCATGACCTAAGCGCTAAAACATAAAAATCAGATAATAGAAATGGAATGAAAAAAAAATTAGTATGAGTTCTATTAGGTTCCTTCATTTTTATCATTTCCCTATCCTCTCGGGTTGGCAATACAAGTTAAACAATAAGAACATGCTCTTGAAATTTGTGAAGGCGAATAGAGCCGTAAACCCTAGTGTTACGTTTCTCGAGAACGTTTTCGCATCTCACGCTGTTTTTGGAACCACAGCTTAGACACCGACTGAGAAAAGTCCACGTGGATTCTAGAATCGTCAATCAGCGCACGGTCCATCTTCTGAAAAGCTCGGTAGCACGCGTCAACTGTATCAAACTCTACAAAACCATAGCACAAAGAACGCTTCGTTTTCTTATCCATCACCACCTCTGCAGATAGAACCCTGCCAAATTGCGCAAAGCACATCGCCAAGCCATCTCCCGTGGTGACAGGGTTCAGCTTGCACACAAAAAGCACATTCTCCGGTGGTTTGAGCTCGACATCAACGTCGGCGACGCCGTTAAGTAGGTTCAACATCAACGCGAGAGTGGTATTGGCCTGCTCGCGGTGCATATCGAGCACGGCCTGCCGCCGCTTCCGCTGCTCCGCCGCCGAAGAAGCGGAGGAAGAGGTAAGATCCTCCTCATCTGAGCTGAGGTAGTTTCCTTTGTAGTGTGCGTTGTACTCCGGAGAGGGAATCTCATCCGTCAGGCGGGGCGGGAGAACAAACGGCTGCGCGGGGGAATCACCGCTGGTAAGCGCGGCAACCGCCTCCTCCGGAGTTGCCGCGGGGGTGTGGTGGTAGCGCTCACTAAGTACGACAATCTGCCGCGCGAGGTGCCGCGCAGCCTCGGAAATTGCCCCTAGTGGCGCCCAATGCGCAAAACACCCCACGGCGTGCAGCCCTCGCTGGAGGCTCTTCTGAAGCGGCCCCGCCGCTCTGTCGGGCGAGGCCCGCGAGGAAAAAGCTTCCACGCCGGGGGTTGGTAGCACCTTGGTGTGTTTTATACGAAGCATCCGCAGGGGCCGAGGCCAGCGCGTCCTGTCACCGCCCTCGGCGTGCGGGGCGCGCCGGATGCCGCTGAGCACATTGAACCCCTCCGAAATCTGCCCAATCGCCACGTACTGATCCTCAAGAAAATCAAGATGTCGATCACTAAGGGTGATGCCAAAGCGAAAATTATCGGATGATCGCACTGCCCCTGATGACGAGGCCGTGGAAGAAGTGTTGATGATGAGCAGACCTCGGCGACAGAGAGAGCCCACATGCCGCCGGCCATCAAGGGCGCCGCCGGCGGTTCGAAACATCAACTTAGGGCTCCCTCCAACTCCACTAGAGGTGGTGAGATTAGCGATGCCCTCACACGAACGCACCATCGAGACCTCCCTCTCGCGCGCGGCATCCCACTTCTGAGTGCGAAGTTGCCGCTCCGCCTCAAGCCGCCAGCGCTCCTCCGAGCAGTGCCGCAGCAGATTCCAAAAGCTCCCACAAAACCCCCTTGTCAAATCACCCGCGTCGTTAGGCGTGGCGGCCTCGCCAAGCAGCGCGTCGTAAACGGGATCAGCGGCGTGCGAAAAGAATATCGCAGCTCCCGGGATCACCTCCGTAGCGATCGCACCATTCCAGAAATGACAACGGCAGAGATTTGCATAGTTTGCTGTTAAACCAGGACAGTCACAGCCGTAAAGATCGAAAACAAGTGATCCTAACGAAGTCTCCACCAGAATCCCAGCTGTGGTGACGTAGTGAGTTTCGGGTTTGGACATTCCAAATGGAAGCTGCGTGACTTTTTATTAGACGTCTTATTTCTTCCGCCAATTTGTAGTCCTGTTATAATGAAACTTGCAATAAATTTGTGTAGAGACGTCAAAGAAAAAAAATGATTTAGAACTTGCGTAATCGACACTACCGTCAAACATACAGAAACAGTTATTAGGTATCGCTTAAGGCGCTGCTTCATCCATGGTTAAAAGATTTAAAAAATTCGCTATTTCACAATAACCACAGCTTCAACCCTTTAGAAGGCCAAACAGCGTTGTGCTCCTGTTTCACCTCTCATAATTCACCACCACCACCTTTTCTGCACGCCACAGCCTGCACCTTTAGTCTCATGCAAATAACCATAACAATACCAAAGAAGCCGCTGCCGATGCACGAAGAACGAACTTAAAAGATAATCACCCGATCCTCCTGCCACGCCTCATTGCAGAGCGGGCAGTTTGGGCGGCCTCGCTCGAGCCAGGGCTTCACACAGTGGGTGTGGAAATAGTGCCCGCACGTCCCGCGCGACACGCTGCACCCCATCGCCGGAGAAAGCTCCGCGTTGCAGTGCACGCAGGCCTTACAAACCAACTCCCGGCAGATATGACAGCTCAGCACCATCAACTCCTGCTCCGCCATCGTGACGGTGGCGTTGACGTAGGCCTTGAGGGTCTGGATGGGGATGACCCCGGCCTCGGGGCTGTCGCACATCCCCGTCGCTCAGCGCACAGCACCCAACGGCGTTGTAACCGCACTGAAGAAGGGGGGGGGGGGG